CACATTTATAGTTATAAAAAAGTTCTACAAGTAAAAAAAGTTTTTTACTCTTAATATATACAAGGTTGCGTGAGTTTTCGCGTGGCATGGCGGATGTCCGGGGGGGGGGGGGTCACTAATTCGGACAATGCCGGACAAGGGGGGAGGGGGGGTCTGAAAATCTATCATTTGGCCGGACATCCTTTGTGAATGGCCCCTAACGCGAAATCCTGGAGGAAGTAGAGGATACCTAACATTTGATCGCGGTAATTTATGTGGAAGACGTAATAGCTTGAAATGACGTCGACTAAAGCTTCCAACAGGTCCGTGCTGCTTTCGAAGAACGCCTGATCTTCGCCTGAAACAAAGGTTTGAAGAACGTCGTCTGTTGTGCCGAGTACCACCAGTTTAAACTGGACCGTCTTGTCTTCAAACAAATTCTTGGGATTACTCGATGGCTATAGTGAAGAGAAAACATAATGGTAGAGTTTAAGGAAAACTCTTTGCAGACACTGCCCTTACAAACGTGTATAGAAACTATTTCTAACACAGCTACCAAGTGTAATTTGAATATACTTACATCGTTGAACTTAATGAGTGATTCCCCTTTTTTTCATTGTTTTCGTTTCAATGAATGAAACAGCGTCAGCCACACCTTTATTCGCCAGTTCATCCTTCTGTAGCACTTTTTTAATACCTTTTCTCAATCTTTCCACCGACTTCTTAAATGCAAAACCTGGGAGAACATTTTGCATTTCTTTACGCACCTATAGAAAGGATATACGCGACTTACATAGGTGATTATTGAATATTTTTCCCATGAGGCGATCACTACGCAATTTTTGTCAGAAATGGCAGCAAGCAACCTCGTACCCAGGGCTTTTGTGCTTGGTCGCTCTCGTTAGCCCTGAGATAATCAACCTCGTACCCAGGGCTTATGTGCTTGGTCGCTCTCATAAGCCCTGGGATAATCCATGGCGATAAAGCAACCTTTTGCCAATGCCACCTTAATGGCGGCTAAGAGATGTGCCAGCTCGGCCTTAACACTAATTACACAGAAACTGAAGCAGAAGCTGTTGTTCTTCTCCCTTACAAATCATACAACTAATTGGAAAACAAATGTCCTTTTGAATTATCAAATTATAAAAAATCTACACCAAAAATGTATGTAAGTCTGAGAAAGAAATGTCTACTAAAACTTTCAGATTTAAGAAAGAAAAATTGCTGTATAACAGTGTTAACTGTTTCAAATGAGTCATTTGTCCAGGGCAGCTAAGAGATGTGCCATCTCGGCCTTAACACTAATTACACAGAAACTGAACCAGAAGCTGTTGTTATTCTCCCTTACAAATCATACAACTAATTGGAAAACCAATGTCCTTTTCAATTATCAAATTATAAAAAATCTACACCAAAAATATATGTAAGTCTGAGAAAGAAGTGTTTACTAAAACTTTCAGCTTAAGAAAGAACAATTGCTGTATAACAGTGTAAACCTGTGTCAAATCAGTCATTTGTCCGGGGCGGCTAAGAGATGTGCCATCTCGGCCTTAACACTAATTACACAGAAACTGAAGCAGAAGCTGTTGTTCTTCTCCCTTACAAATCATACACATAATTGTAAAACCAATGTCCTTTTGAATTATCAAATTATAAAAAATCTACACCAAAAATGTATGTAAGTCTGAGAAAGAAATTTCTACTAAAACTTTCAGATTCAAGAAAGAACAATTGCTGTATAACAGTGTTAACTGTGTCAAATGAGTCATTTGTCCAGGGCGGCTAAGAGATGTGCCATCTCGGCCTTAATACTAATTACACAGAAACTGAACCAGAAGCTGTTGTTATTCTCCCTTACAAATCATACAACTAATTGGAAAACCAATGTCCTTTTCAATTATCAAATTATAAAAAATCTACACCAAAAATATATGTAAGTCTGAGAAAGAAGTGTTTACTAAAACTTTCAGCTTAAGGAAGAACAATTGCTGTATAACAGTGTAAACCTGTGTCAAATGAGTCATTTGTCCAGGGCGGCTAAGAGATGTGACATCTCGGTCTTAACACTAATTACACAGAAACTGAACCAGAAGCTGTTGTTATTCTCCCTTACAAATCATACAACTAATTGGAAAACTAATGTCCTTTAGAATTATCAAATTATAAAAAATCTACCACAAATAAGTAAGTCTGAGAAAGAAGGGTTCATTAAAACTTCAACTTCCAGAAAGAACAATTGCTGTATAACAGTGTTACCTGTGTCAAATGAGTCATTTGTTCAGGACCGCTAAGAGATGTGCCATCTCGGCCTTAACACTAATTACACAGAAACTGAACCAGAAGCTGTTGTTATTCTCCCTTACAAATCATACAACTAATTGGAAAACCAATGTCCTTTTCAATTATCAAATTATAAAAAATCTACACCAAAAATATATGTAAGTCTGAGAAAGAAGTGTTTACTAAAACTTTCAGCTTAAGAAAGAACAATTGCTGTATAACAGTGTAAACCTGTGTCAAATGAGTCATTTGTCCAGGGCGGCTAAGAGATGTGCCATCTCGGCCTTAACACTAATTACACAGAAACTGAACCAGAAGCTGTTGTTATTCTCCCTTACAAATCATACAACTAATTGGAAAACCAATGTCCTTTTCAATTATCAAATTATAAAAAATCTACCAAAAATATATGTAAGTCTGAGAAAGAAGGGTTTATTAAAACTTCTAACATCAAGAAAGAACAATTGCTGCATAACAGTGTTACCTGTGTCAAATGAGTCATTTGTCCAGGGCGGCTAAAAGATGTGCCATCTCGGCCTTAACACTAATTACACAGAAACTGAACCAGAAACTGTTGTTATTCTCCCTTACAAATCATACAACTAATTGGAAAACCAATGTCCTTTTCAATTATCAAATTATAAAAAATCTACCAAAAATATATGTAAGTCTGAGAAAGAAGGGTTTATTAAAACTTCTAACATCAAGAAAGAACAATTGCTGCATAACAGTGTTACCTGTGTCAAATGAGTCATTTGTCCAGGGCGGCTAAAAGATGTGCCATCTCGGCCTTAACACTAATTACACAGAAACTGAACCAGAAGCTGTTGTTATTCTCCCTTACAAATCATACAACTAATTGGAAAACCAATGTCCTTTTGAATTATCAAATTATGAAAAATCTACACCAAAGATATATGTAAGTCTGAGAAAGAAGTGTTTATTAAAACTTTCAGCTTCAAGAAAGAACAATTGCTGCATAACAGTGTTACCTGTGTCAAATGAGTCATTTGTCCAGGGCGGCTAAGAGGTGTGCCATCTCGGCCTTAACACTAATTACACAGAAACTGAACCAGAAGCTGTTGTTATTCTCCCTTACAAATCATACAACTAATTGGAAAACCAATGTCCTTTTCAATTATCAAATTATAAAAAATCTACCCAAAATATATGTAAGTCTGAGAAAGAAGGGTTTATTAAAACTTCTAACTTCAAGAAAGAACAATTGCTGCATAACAGTGTTACCTGTGTCAAATAAGTCATTTGTCCAGGGCGGCTAAGAGATGTGCCATCTCGGCCTTAACACTAATTACACAGAAACTGAACCAGAAGCTGTTGTTATTCTCCCTTACAAATCATACAACTAATTGGAAAACCAATGTCCTTTTGAATTATCAAATTATAAAAAATCTACCAAAAATGCATGTAAGTCTGAGAAAGAAGGGTTTATTAAAACTTCCAACTTCAAGAAAGAACAATTGCTGCATAA